TAAATACAAAAAATATCACGACCTGAACAACACGGTGGTCGATTTATAACTGAGATAAATGCGATCGCTGGGCCTGTTTGGGCCTGTACCCGGCTTCAACTGCATCGCCCTTACGTTCAGTCTATGTGGTATGTGCATCAAATGGTATAAAAACCTAACCTCAAAGTTTGTATGGGACAATAAGCTTAAGCAACCCCTGTTTCTACGACACTGTGTTCACTCGAACAATTATAATTATGTGTGAATATGTGTTTTGGAAGTAAGTGACTGTTCGCAAAATATCACCTATCCAAGACTACCATAGTAGAAGTTATATTAAAAAAACTGATATGATAAGTAACACTTTATTACCCTGTATCTTTTAAACATACGTAATTAGGAAAAATATTTATTTAGATTTTCGTCTTATTTTGACTTGCTTAATCTGCTCCTAAATTTATATCACCAAGTTTAGGGACACCTTGTATATTATATAAACTATTAAAGAATATTTTATTGGAAATATAAAATATATTTATTAATTTTGCCCAGAGGCACTGAAATTATTGCAGCAAGCTGGTTGTTTTGACAGCAATACAAGCTTCGATAGTGATTCCGACTAAGAAAGTTGGGCAACTAAAGCTATATTTTCTCTGGTTGTTTACTTAAATGTTTATTTTCTGTTATTGCAATTTATAATATTGCATTTTAAATAATTTTTTTGCATAACTCAGCTTTTTCAATCTTATACCTTCGGCTTTGTTTCGATTTTTTTGCGGTCTATGAAAATCTATATTATTTTTCAAAAACTTTTAAAAAATAAATAATATATAGAGTTATATAGGCTCTTAAAGTTCTATTTGTGACATTATTTCCATTTTGACATCCTATATCTTCTATTACAAAACACAAGATCTTCAATAAGTTTTACAATTTCGCCCTGGTGGGTAAAGTTTGCAAAATAGCAAAATATTGTTAAATTTTACTATGGTCTCACAATCTTTCGTTGTCTGGGCAGCTGTTTATAAGTGAAATTAACTTATTTTTCTTTGTTTTTGATAATTACGCTATAAAATTTGATACATTTGTTGAGTTTGATATTTTTCAATGTTTTACAAAATCCTGGCCCACAGTGGGCCGTCCATAAAGTTCGTCACACCTATTTATAAAATTTGTATGCATGTTTACATGAAGTATATTTATAGAAATACAATTATCAATGTTATGAAATTTTTAGTATCTAATAATTTTACTTTTTTAAACAATTCTATAATGTTTAAAAGTTATTTTACCTCTTCTTTAGTTAATTAATTATTACTTCAAATTTATACAGAAAGTCAGAGACAAGTGATAGCGGGCCAGTGCACATGTGGCGTGGCCACTGCAGTGGCCACGCCACATGTGATCCTTGCGAAATGGGTCGCAATTAAACAATTAACCTTACTGGAGAAAATCCTTTTATAGTGGATTCACGTAATCCCCAGAACCGCTTTAGGTTAAATGTTTGGTGCAACATAATTGAAAATGTACTAAATATGGCCAAATTTTATACGAAATGTACTTTTGTACTATTATGATTTATTTTGCAGATAAAAAATGTAGGTACTAAATTTAGTACAGTTGTACTAAAACGGCAGCCCTGCTTCGAACAAACCCGCTTTAAGAACGAGAAGATAGCATTATCTAAAAATAATAAAAAAACATATTAGTAGCAGGAACGGTTTATACATTTATATATAAATACATTTATAATCTATGAAGGCAAGGGCAAAGCCTGATTTACAGTTGGACGTAGACGTAACGGAGACGTAAGAAACGAACTGTAAAAAATTATTCAATTTATAAACCGATGAGCGGGATTTTGGCGGATGCTTAGTTGTGCACCTTTCTATTCTTTTTGTTAAATTTTAAATAAAAGTAACTTTATAAATGTGTATATTTGTTTCAATTTAATTGGCGCTTAAAGACCATAATAGATCTAGACTATGCACCCATATGATGTATTATGATCCACAGTGTGGCATTAACACACTGTAACCGTAATTTTGTAAAAGTTTCGTTTAGGTTCTCAAAATCGATATTTTTATTGGTATGCTGGGTTGCCTAGGTAAAAAGATTGTTTTTATTTTAATTGTTTCCACTTTTCTTTCTAGTCCAAATTTACTTTTAGTTTTTTAACATAAGGCGTTATACCTACCGTGGGTTACTTACCCGGGTCCCAAAAGTCACGTGACCGCAACTCGAAGGTTACTTACTCGAACCCTGTACATATGACAGTTCTTTTTCAAATAAAAACGCCTAAATAAAATATTTTAATTTAAATATAAATACTTTAAAATCAATTATGTGATAGATAAAACGTAGACGGTAAGAGTCCTACCTTATTGCTGGTGATGATGGTGACACTCAGGGCCCTGGTTTCTAGCAGTTAGGCTTTTAGCGTTGGATTTAAGCGGGTGCGTTACACAAAGCGGGATAAAGCGGGTACAATGTAGCGCGGTAGATCGCGGGATGCGTCTGGTTCGACTTCTTCTTTGTTAATACACTTACGCCCTCAATCACATGGTCAAATAGTTAATTAAAAATAGTTGCGGTAAACATGCGCGTTGGGGGCAATAAGCTGTATATATTATTTATATAAATATAATTAAAATTGCTTAAATATATTTAAAATACCTCAACCATTCTTTGTGCTAATTTTTTAACAAATATTTTTTCTTAGAATTTTGTAGCTCTTAAAGTTTCCTATAAAATTACCATTTACTTTAAGTAAATTGGTCCAGTGTAGGCTGGACAATCGTCAACATATCGACGTTTCTTTAAAAATAACATTTTCGGCCTTTCCGGCCTTATAATTGGTGGTAAAAAAATTAAAGTTGTTTAAAAATATCTTTACTATCCTAGTAACGGTGGGATTTGTGTATTATAAAACGTTGGAAAGACGTGGGATTATTGTATTATAAAACGTTGGAAATACGTGGGATTATTGTATTATTAACGTTGCATTATATAAATAATATTTTAGCCTATATTTTTGTATACAGGTTTTAAAATTAATTTTTTATAGTAAACAAATTTTTTATTAAATGCAAAATGTACCCTAAAATGCTCCAAATTGATTTACATGATTTTAGTTTATTAATATGAGGATTGCTATCCAAAAATTTCAAAGATTTGCCTGGTAGACAACATACATCCTCCAGTGGCAGCAAACACGGAATTTGAAGAAATGTATAATATTCCTTGAGTGTGTTTTTTCCTTTTTCACAAAAAGTGTTTGTTTCTCTGGGACACCAGGTTCTGGCAAAGCATCCCTTAGTGTTTTTGTAAAAATATTGGTTTATTACATCATTATCAACTTCTGCTCTGGATCTCTTTATATTGTTAGCATTCCTTTGATTTTTTCTTCAGGACGAAATTTATTGTCAGGGAGGTTATTTACGTGTCAAGCTTTGTAAATGAATCTTTACGGGCGAGCTGAACGTTTATGGTAAAATGTTGGGTCAACATGCGTTTTTACTGGCCTATAATTCATAATTATAACACAGCCACACAAAAAAAAAGTGTCGTGATCTGGGCATGCGACATATGCTTTCCTATGGATTTTGACGCCCTGAATCCGAATCCGATGTCAGAATTTCTCCTCCAGGTCAGCGTTTCAACTTAACCTCAAAAAACGTGAACAAGTTAGTATTTCCTGTTCTGGGGATGAGGCATGTCGATTCTTATGTTTCTCGATGTACTGAATGTAAATAAGCTCTCAGAATCGATCACACACGTTGTTCTTTTGACTCTAACCTCGAAAAATGGTAAATGGAAATGATAGTAAATTGTGATATACTGCCTTGAAGGCTGTTTTTTTTTAAAGCCTATATCAGCGGAGTCTCATTCTCAAGGAACCTAACCTAACCTGGCCTAATATAACCCTTATCTTCCATCGCAGATTTTTTTCCTTCAAAATGGTAAATTAAAACACAGAAATTATTGGTATCAATGTCTGAAAATTCAAATTAACATTCAACATTTGGTTTTTGCGTTATCATTTGTGAAGCTTACCTGATAACTTGAGTCTTAAACATTTTCATATTTCATTGTTACTACGAGGAATTCGATTTTTTAAGTTGATTCTTTGGCAATCACAATAAGTACACGTGGTTACAGTGTTTCCATTCTGAAGCTGTCAATGTTCTTAGCGTTGTAGTTTACTACCTGAAGCTCATAATTTCTTTTTATGGTATGGATCCGTTGCCCACCGTCACCACGTGGAGGTGCCCTGGTTACAGGCACAAGCGAAAAATTCTAAAATGGTCAGCGATATCATTATGTTCACCCATTCTTCTAGAAATCCAGTAATAGAGAGAATAAAACAGTAAATTTCATATGAATTAATTTCGTTGTAAAGACATTGCTTATCGTGTTAAAATTTACCTTTTTACAGAATAGTAAAATCTGCGATAGAAGATAAGGGTTATATAAGGCCAGTTTAGGTTAAATTAGGTGATTTAAGGTTAGGTTAGGTGAGTTAAAGTTAGTTTACGTCAACTGTAAGAATGAGACTCTGCCGATATAGGCTTTCAAAAAAAAACTAGCCTTCAAGGCAGTATATCACAATTTCAGTATATTTCATTTCATTGCGTTTTTTCGAGGTTAGAGTCAAAATAACAACGTGTGCGATCGATTCTGAGAGATTATTTACATTCAATGCATCGAAAAACATAAGAATCGACATGCCTCATCCCCAGAACAGAAAATACTAATTTTTTCACGTTTTTTGAGGTTAGGTTGAAACGCGGACCTGGAGGACAAATTTTGACATCGGATTGGGATTCAGCGCGTCAAAATCCATAGGAAAGCATATTTCGCATCCTCAGATCACGACACTTTTTTTTTGTGTGGCTGTGTAATTAACAAACATTTTTTACGTGTTCATTAATCGTTGGAGGGACAGATTAACAGATGTTGTAACCTTAAAGCAATGTTTTAAACAGAATCTATAGCATAATTCCCTTAACATATTTTAGAGGTTTTATTTTTGGATTAAATGAAATTCAAACTAAAAACGCAGTATCCTACTCTTGTCGAAAACTTCTATTAAATTCAGGTAATTTTACAATTATATAAATTATATTATGTTTATTTGAAGATACATTATATATGAAAATATTATTATATTATTTACAGTTGGTAGAAGACATGGTAAAGCTGTTATGTTTGTTGAAAGTGTAGGACAAGATTCTGTTATAAATCTTGATAGTGAGAATGATGAAGAACCAGTTTTAAAGAAATGCAAGAAATAATAATTATTGTCAATAAAATATTGAAAGAAAATCCATATTTTAATTAAAACCATGCCCCTATATTTATGTATTTTTTCCATGAATATGTTTTATTCCGAGATGGTATGTACAGGGTGATCTCCTATAAAGTGTGGTTATATAGGTACTAAAAAATACTTTTTTCCTACGTATAAAGAAAATAGGAAAAACCCTGTATATGATTTTATTTTTCGATTCCTTGTAAAATTCTAAGCATAATTCCTATAACAAACCATATACCATATATGTCAATATGTCTTGTTAAATAAGTAAAAATGTGGTACTCAGACAGAGAAACACAAACTATTTCAAATTATTATCTTAAAAATAATTCAAATATTTGAGAAACGGTTGAATTTAGGTATATGGTATGTTTTATGAAATATGCTTAGAATTTTACAAGGAATCGAAAAATAAATACATATATAGGGTGATCCATTGAAAAAAAATAAACTTTTTGTTTTTCCCTGTATACTGATCAATTTTCCAATTTTCTTTATACGTAGAAAAAATTTTTTGGGTTAGAGGGGGGCGACATTATAGGGGATCACCCTGTACATAATTATATTGATAAAAAAACTAATATACATAATAATATTATGTATTACATATCCAGGGACGTAGCTACCGCGGTATCAGCCGTACCAATGATACCGGGCCCCCGGCTAGGGGGGGGCCCGATTGGCTTCGATATGCGTAAGCAAAAAACCCACATGTTAAAACAATTGAGGCATGTAATTAAATAAATAAATAAATAATATTATTTAATTGTTTATTAGGGTGGTCCTTAATAAGGTTATTTTCAAATTTCTTTGCTCCCAGGGGCTCAAATACTTCCAAATTGATAAAAAAAAATTCCCTGGAAATTTGAGCTCTTAATATTAACTCTAAGATAGTGCGCATTCCAATCTAAGTTTCCTATGGATATAACAGGAAAAATTACTTTTGTTGTTTATAATTTTATAACTTGGGAACGAATGAATAAAAAATTATAATTCATACATATTTTTAACGCCCTACAAAAAAGGTCTCTTATAATTTTTCCATTAGTCTATTGGTTTAAAAGTTATTCAACGTCAAAGTTTAATTTTCATATTATTATTAATATTATCAAGGCTTTTTATTAATATTATCGAGTAAATTATTACATTATTAAATATTTGTTGTTAATATGTTATTTATTATTAAAATAAGCGAATATAATGTTTTCTTTAGGATTGTGATTGATATGTGTGATTTTTAAATCAATAAAACAAATAGTTTTCTAATAATAATATAATTTTCAAGTTAATAAAATGAAAGGACAGATGAAATATGATACCGCTCGGATACTTAGCCTTAATCTTTTTTCATATTTTCCACTATTGCAGATTTTCGAGTATCAGCATAATATCGCTTATATTCTGATAAAAATTGAACTATAAATTGCTGCTGCTCTGGATCCTTGCTTAGTATACTATGGTTGTCACGGTTCACTTTTTAGTGGGCGCTATCTAAAGTAATATCTAGTTTTAAGGGCTCTGTCCGACTCTATAGTTACTCAGGGGTGTGGGTTAAAAATGATGGTAGTAGGCGCCACGTGATTTAAGTGGCCCTTAAAACGTAGAAAGCGAAAATCACGAAATATATTAAAATAAAGTTTATTTAAGAGGTATTATTCCCAATAACGCAATAAGTGATTATTCTTATGTTATGTATAAATACCAAAAATAATACCGAAGTGATCACTTGAGTTTACAACCCTTTTGGTAGTTACGAACTACAAAAACAATATATATATATTATGCAAGTAAAATACCACTTTGTAGCTGAAGGCTACCAGGGCAAAACAAAAATTAAGTAAAACTGGTGCTTAAAGTAAACAGGGCAAAACAAAATTAAGTAAAACTGGTGCTTAAGACAACCAGGGCAAAACAAAATGAGGTGACGCTACAAGTTAAGCTTGTAGGCGTACAAGGTTAGCAACCCGAGGGTAAACCTGGTTATACGGTCAAGCTTAACCAAATTAGTTCGCAACACAACGAACAATACTGACCATTAAAAATAAAGAAAATAGAAAAAAATTGGCCGTTGGTCTGGATCGAAACCAACCAGCAGCTGGTTATACGGGCAGAAGCTGGTCAGCCTCGGCACAGAACAACAAACCTTACAAAATAAAACATATAAAAGGAACTTATCCTGCTGCCAAACGTTGTCACAATCGGGTAAGTCGTCAAATCCGGGAAAAGTGTCTTATTCGGGTGATGGGTGAGATGGCAGACGTCGATCTCAGTCCTACCTCGGCCAACTCGCAGTAGTCAAATCCAGGAGAAAACTAGGCTTGTCCGGGTACCTTCGCGGTAGTGTATGTCCCGGAACAAGGGTCACAATAAGGGTGGATATCTGGGAGATAATCCGTCGTGTCCAAGTTGAGTGTAAAATTTACACTAATAGGGTTATGAAAATACGGAAAGGAAAACCCAAAAACAAAACAAAACCCTAAAAGAGAAAAATAATGGTATGGAATAGGTCTCCCAAAGAAATTATTCGTACTTACGCCTGGTTGAATAAATTATGGTATAGCGATGGTAAATTATGGTGGTGAGATTGTATTCAACGATGGTATGTGCGTGTTAGTGTGCGATGACGCTGGCTTGACCACTAAAATAGGCTTAGATAACAAAACAGCCGTTAAATAGATAAATGACGCTTACCTAGAGCATGTGCGTTTTAAATCCGGACGAATCCGCTAAATCCATAGACCAATGGATCCAATAAAGGTTTCTCTGAAGAAAAATCCCGCAATTAAGACCGGATGGTGGAAATAAAACCAAATCTTCAAAGCACCTGTTGCAAACGCTCACAAGCCTAACGCCAACTGTCAATTGTCAAAAAGGATCAACCTTCCCTTTATCAGGAACCAAACTCAATCTCCCAAACTAAAACCAAACTCAATCTCTTAGGAAACGAAAAGAGTCCTGTGGAAACCAAGGTCCCTGCAAAATGTACCTTAAAACAGCGGTAGGAAACATAAGACAAACAAGGTAAATTAAGTAGTAGAACTAGACAATAATAATAAATGTAATAACAATTTTAGTAAGAAGAGAAAAAGTCATAAAACTAATCAGGCTCACCGGCAAAACCAAAAGTAGGACAGAAAAATTATACTGTACGATACCACTTAAAATATATTATAAGTTAGGGAAATAAATCAAAATAGAGAAAATAAAAGTAGTACAGCAAGTAAAGTATGGAAATTAAACTAAATAATAAAGTGCCGATAAGTATGTTTTAGTTTTATTTAAAACTAACAATTTCCTAAAATAAACTAAGAGTCTTTTTGACACGTTACATGGTATTCTTCAATTAGTTTCACTGCACGCTCAGCAATATCATTAACAACTTTCAAACTTCGTACCAATAGCAAACCTTTCTGGTAATCTTCATTTCGACACCACTCAACGGATTTAAATTAAAAAAATCTGTATTTATTTCAAATCTTGTGAAAAACTGGAGTGATTTTGATGATATGAATGAAGCAATGCTCCAGTTATATACATCTCGAATGTTTTTAATTTCAAAACGTTTCAATTTCTCAGAACTTTTCGATAATTTTTAACATAATCACCATCTGGTTCTTAATGTTTAGTGGTATTCTTTCGTCGAAAAATGCCATATCTGCAGTTTCTGGATTTAAATACCATAAATGCTTGCTAAATTTTTTTAATGCCACTTCAGATATTTTAGCATCTGTCAATTTATAATCAATAAGTTCTTTTAAAAATGTTAAATCATTATTTGGAGCTTCAGATGCTAGAGGACAAGTAAACCATGCTTTTGATATACACTGTAGCAATAAAAATACAAATTTCAGAAATTGATTTGATTAACTTCACCGTCATGACGCGTCATTTCAAAATTTTTAAGGTATAAAAATATTTTTATAGTATATATGGCTTTTGACATCCATCTAGCGTGATGGAATGCACCCGGTTTACGACCTTTCACAAGCTCCAGAAGTTCTTTGTAGTCTTCTCTTGGTTGCTCAGAATCAAGTTGCTGTTGGATAAACTGATTGATGTCTTCAATGTGATCTTGTATTTTGTTCTGCACATACGAGTCTTCAATACCAGTAGAAAATTGACTTGTATCAATTTCAGTCCAACTGTCTCGAAACCTTTTAAATAAAGGTACATCAGGACCTGAAGCTGTAGGTATTTTAAGTTCAAACACATCCTTTAGAATAAGTTCAAATATGTGATGCCTGCAGGGCAAATACAGTAATTTTTTTCAAGTAACTGTTCAAGTAAAACTGCAGCTCCTTTATTTGATCCTAGATTTGCAGCAGTAGTATCACAACAGAGAGCTTTGATACAGTCAGGAATACCCCAATCAATAACAGCATCAAACATTGCATCAGCTTGGGACTGTCCTGTACCATCATCAAGTACTGGAATTGCTAGTATTTTTTCAATTTGTCTACAACTTAATACAACTGGTAGGCGTTCTTTATTATTTCCACTAGAAGTTTTTCTATCCCAATGTAGGACACTAGCATTCAAATCTTCAGTTTTGAAAAGTTCTTTAATTTGCTTGACTTTTTCTTCACGTATTTTCTCTCTGCTTCGGAAAATTGATGATCTATTTACTATCAGTGGATTTACGTCGATGTTTAATGATAAAAATAAAGCTACAATCGTTTGATTGCGTTGCGGTCGCTTATTTTACAATGATCGAAGACCGCTACTAATTTATCATCCATGATATTTATCGTCCCACGAGATTGTGTTGATTCTTGGTGCCGAGTAGTTGCCAGTTCATCAGAAAAATTCGAAGCAGACGATATTGTTTTTTGACTCAACGGATTTACTCCTTCCACTGCTTGATGTGAACTCCACAAAGTCATCTTCAATAAACATAAAAGGCATAGAAATAAAAATTTGTGATTGAAATTAAGATACAATTATTTATAATGAATGAATTAAGCTTCATAAATTATTTTTTCTACTTCCACCTTTAAAACGCCCTTTATCGTACATGTTTCCATGACACTAAGTGACCTTTTAAATACACATTGACAAGTTGTGGCTTTACGGCGTTTTAGTCACGGGCTGAAGTTAGCAACAGGTTTTTAGTCACGGGCTGAAGTTAGTTTTAAGTTAGTTGACAAATGTCATACAATCGTTAAAATAAAGTGCCTTTCTTGTAAAATAATACTAAATGTGAAAATTATTTTATTATCTCAATACAAAAATACAAAAATATTAAATAGTTTCTCAACGCCAATATTTGAAAAGTTTATATGAACATTGTACTGACCTTTTTTATTTCGCCGGCAGTAAACTATAACTTAAATTCGGGCACGGACTCTCACATTCGTGAATCCACAACTGATTCACATTCGGTTCACAGCCGTGAATTTTACCAAATGATGCAAATGTGAGTTCATGTGAAGTCCGCGTGAATTCAGAAGGGGTTCATATGGAGTTCACAGCCGTGGATTTAACTAAATGACGCGAATGTGAACCCAACTGAAGCGCGCATGGATCCACGATTTATTCACATTCAGTTCAGGTCGTGGAATTTACGAAATGAAGTTAATGTGAACTTCGCGTGAATTCACAATTGATTCACATTCAGTTCAGGGCCGTGCAATTTATTAAATGACGCTGATGTGAAGTTATGTGAACTTCGCCTGGATCCACGATTGATTTACTTCCAGTTCACGGCCGTGGAATTTACTAAATGAAGTTGACGTGAAGTTTGTTTGGATCCACTTTTTATTCACATCCAGTTCACGGCCGTGGAATTTATGAAATGACGCTGATGTGAAGTTATGTGAACTTCGCCTGGATCCACGATTGATTCACTTTCAGTTCATGGCCGTGGAATTTACTAAATGAAGTTGACATGAACTTGACATGAACTTTGCGTGGATCCACTTTTTATTCACATCCAGTTCACGGCCGTGGAATTTATGAAATAACGCTGATGTGAATTCAACTTAAGTTATGTGAACTTCGCCTGGATCCACGATTGATACACTTCCAGTTCATGGCCGTGGAATTTACTAAATGAAGTTGACATGAACTTTGCGTGGATCCACTTTTTATTCACATCCAGTTCACGGCCGTGGAATTTATGAAATGACGCTGATGTGAAGTTATGTGAACTTCGCCTGGATCCACGATTGATTCACTTCCAGTTCATGGCCGTGTAATTTACTAAATGAAGTTTACATGAACTTTGCGTGGATCCACTTTTTATTCACATCCAGTTCACGGCCGTGGAATTTATGAAATAACGCTGATGTGAAGTTATGTGAACTTCGCCTGGATCCACGATTGATTCACTTCCAGTGAATCAATCGTGGATCTTATAAGTTAATGTGAATCTTGGTGAAGTTTACGTGGATCCGCATTTTGTTCACGGCCGTGGAATTTACAAAATTACGCTGATGTGAATTTATGTGAAGTGAGCATGGATCCCACCGCAGTACTGCGTGTTACCAGATATCTGTCAAAAAAAGTCGCTATAGCGATGCATCTAACATGTATACAAAAATGTTTGTATATAGCGACTTAAGTCGCTATAGCGATGTATACATTTATTTGCATTTACCTTAATTACATCTTTGAATTTATCTTAATTACAAAATGACCCAATTAACAATAATAATTAATTATAATTATAATTATTAATAATTGTTAATTATGTCATTTTGTAATTAAGATAAATTCAAACAAATGTACACATACAGCACCTAAGACGAAAAGCAAATTAATTTGCTTAGTGAATACGGCTGAATATCATATTATGAAAGTTTGGTTACCACGGAAATTACATATTTCAGATTTAACAAAGCTTTTTTATTAACACCTGTAGGTATCATTCGACATACCCTCGTATTACAGTACACATGTTGTGTGTACTACACATGCGCAATAGTCTTCTAACAGTCTGCTTCTAACCCTAAAATTTATATATACTACGTAGTTTGCGACGAGAAGGAAATCATAGAACAAACCAGGAAAGTTTCATGAGGAAGTAATTATTTGTGTTTGTGTTTGATAATCAAAGGTAAGTGTAGGTATAAATCCAGATAAAGAACTAAAACAGCCAACATATATAAAGGCTGTTTTCAAGGCCACCAGATAAAGAATCCGAAAGCTAAGGACCCAAGTAAGATGACATATCATAGTGATTCAGGTAGTTGTCTAATATTTAAAAATTTCGTTCATACAGATAAATGGAACGGAACAACAACAGGCCGATGTCAAACAACGGACCGATGTCGAACAACGGGCCGATGTCGAAAAAAGCGTGGAGTCATTTGAAGAGTCGTCCGATACAGATACAGATACAGATATATCCGTATGTGTATCTTTGTAATCATAATTGTTTTTTTAACAATTAATTTTTATTTATGTATAACATATTAATTTTTATTTATATAGGTATAACATATTTATGTAATACTTTTATTTTTTTATAATTTTTTATTTCTTATTAAGAATTTATGTTTATTTTTTTATCAAAATATATGTTTTTTTATACTTTTGCATTATTAATAATGCAGAAGTATATAATTATTACTATTATTATAATAATTATTATTACTCTATATTAATATTTACTAAAAATAGTAATAATTATACACTTTTGTATAAATCTATATAGTATATACTATATATACTAGGTTCACAGTACCTTCAGATACCCTTAATTTATGAAGTCACGGTGAATTCATATAGGTTCATCCGAAATCCACTCGTGAACGATGAACGTAAAATGAATCCATATGAATTCACAGTGACTTCATATTTTGTCGTCATCTGAGGGCACCCTGAATCCACGATGAAGTGAAATGAATTGAAAATGCCTTCATGTGAATCCATTGTGAATTCACGAATGTTTACTGGGGTGTAAAGTCCTCATAAAACATTTCCTTTACTTTCACTGTGAAAAACTGTCAATTTTCAAGATATATTTCGACCTTTATAATTGTGTTTATAAAATGTAAAAATGTGACATTTTGATTTAAATCATTTTAAGAGTATTTCTCGTAGAAAAAGTATAGTATGCACCTCGTTTATAAACTTTTCTATACATAAATAATCAAGGTTGTCATATATTTGCTTGTCATATATTTGCTCTGCAAGTTTTTAAGTGAATTTATTAATTACTAGATTGAATTAAAACTTGATTTAAAAAACATTTTAAAAATAAGATTTTTATAAACTGAATAACACTAAAGTCAATTTGTGCAGTGAAAAAACTAAGTTGCATTTTGAACAAACATTTTAACATTTAATAAGTGCAGTGTTGGTTAGTTTGTTTTTTGTTGCTACAAAAAGAAATTCCACAACTTGAAAACAAAATTCTTAACTTTCAAAAAATAAATCTCTCGGTGGTCGGATTCGAACCCGGGCTGCGGTGTGTGTGCTGTTTGTGAGCCTGCTTGTTTTCTCACTGAGCTACGGAAGCTCATGTAATTAGTTGCTATTGTTATTTATTTAAATTGTTTATTATGCCTTCTACTATTTCAAATAACGAAATATTTGAAGTGATTAAAAAAATAAAAGAACAAAACGTCAATATTCAAAACGATATTACTGCAATTAAAATAGAGAGCACTAAACAAAAAGAACGAATAGAGGAATTTATAACAAAAATAAATAAATTGGAGCAGGACAATCAAAGTATAATAAAGCAACTAAACGTCGTAGAATCAGCAATTAAAAATAATAATATTATTTATGGATTTAAGGAAACTAATGTTAAACTTTTGGATCATGTTATAGATTTTTTTGCCAAGACTGTACGAGTTAATATAACTGAAAAAGAAATTAACAATATATATAGAATAGGAAAAGGTGAAGACAAACAAAAAATTAAACCTATTTTTCTGCAGTTGGTTTCAAATTTGAAAAAGCAAGAAATCTTTGGAAATGTAAAAAATCTAAAAGGGTTCGGTATAAGTATTTCTAATGATTTAAACCCAGAAGAAAGAAAAAAACAAAAAATATTATACAAAGAGCTAAAGAAGGCAAGAATAGCAAAAAAAGAAGCATTTATAAAGAACAATAAATTAGTTATAGACGGCAAAGTCTTAACGTACGAAGATCTTAAAGTCAGCTTTGAAAAAGAAAAAATAACAAATAAACCGTCAGAAGAAGCTTCTACATCTACTACCCAAAATAAAACTGCAGACATTGAAGAGGGTGAAGAATCATCAGAGTCGGACATAGAAACGGATAAAGAATCGGATGCAGGAAAGAAAGAAGTTAAAGAAGATAAATTAAAGACTGATAAAAAAAGAAAAAAGACCGTCACCTCCCCAAAATCAAAATCAAGAAAAATTAACAATATATATAGAATAGGAAAAGGTGAAGACAAACAAAAAATTAAACCTATTTTTCTGCAGTTGGTTTCAAATTTGAAAAAGCAAGAAATCTTTGGAAATGTAAAAAATCTAAAAGGGTTCGGTATAAGTATTTCTAATGATTTAAACCCAGAAGAAAGAAAAAAACAAAAAATATTATACGAAGAGCTAAAGAAGGCAAGAATAGCAAAAAAAGAAGCATTTATAAAGAACAATAAATTAGTTATAGACGGCAAAGTCTTAACGTACGAAGATCTTAAAGTCAGCTTTGAAAAAGAAAAAATAACAAATAAACCGTCAGAAGAAGCTTCTACATCTACTACCCAAAATAAAACTGCAGACATTGAAGAGGACATAGAAACGGATAAAGAATCGGATGCAGGAAAGAAAGAAGTTAAAGAAGATAAATTAAAGACTGATAAAAAAAGAAAAAAGACCGTCACCTCCCCAAAATCAAAATCAAGAAAATTTTTTAAGAAAAACTATTAACACCTTTTTTATTTTTATTATTATTATTATTTTTTTTATTTGATTACTGCATACTGTAGGTACTTATTGTGTTTATTTCTATAGCTTTTATTAATTTAAATATAATGAATAAGAAAATTAAAATTGCTCATATAAATGCTAGATCTCTGGTGCGTCATTTTAATGAAATTAGCGAACACATCTTAAGTAATTCTTATGCTTTAGTAGCTATTACTGAGACTTGGCTTACACCTACTATTCCCAATGAAATTAATATAGATGGTTTTAGGGTGATCAGGAAAGACAGAAATGGTAGGGGTGGAGGTGGGCTTATTTATGAAAGTAATATTATTATTTTGTTGAGTACAGTCGAAGTAACAACTTTTGAAAATATATTTATAAATTTTAAAATTAATAAAACCTTGATTTCTTTTGGAGCCATTTATCGATCACCTGGCTATATAAATATTCAATCTTTTTTTCATGAATTTGAAGAGGCCATAAATTATTTAATGTCGAAGAGTAATCTTTTTCTTTGTACTGGGGATTTTAATGTTAATTTGTTTAATGTTAATCAATCATACGTTGAACAATTTGCTAATATATTAGATATATCATGAATTAGCTGGGAAACGTTATAATTATACTTATAACGTTTCCCAGCTAATTCATGAACCCACCAGGGGACAATCACTTCTTGATCTTATAATGTATTCAAATAAAGAATTCGTTAAAAGTGTTAAAGTAAGTGATAATGGTGAAATATCAGATCATTTATGGGTAGAGTGTCAGTTAAATATAAAACAAGACGTACCTAAGCCATTTATAAAAACATATAGAGACTTTAAAAATTTTGATTTAGAAAGTTTTAATGAAGAATTAGAATTATTATCTTTTGAAAGAATTTATAATGTTGAAAATTTAAATGATAAAGTAAATATATTAAATCAATTAATACTAGATATAATGAACAAGTATGCACCATTGAAGAAAATAAAAATCACTAAAAAGAAGGCTCCATGGATCACAAATAATATACAAAATTTAATGAAAATGAGGGACAAAGCATTAACAAAGTTTAAAAGAACAAAACTGCAAAAAGATTGGGAATACTACAAAGAACTTAGGAACTTTACAAATAGAGCTGTTTCCAATGAAAAAAAGGCATATTTAAATAACAGATTTTCCAAAAATGATGCTAAAAGTAATTGGGGATTGTTACAAAATTTGGGAGTAAATTATAAAACCAAATTTAAAATACCAGATAACCTTTCAGATCCAGAAAAAATAAATGAATATTATCTTAATATTATGCGCAGTAATCTTCAACCTGATGAGTTAACAATAAATAGTTTTTTACAAAATAAAAGCGATAGTACTGGCAATTTCGGCTTTTCTTTAACCAATGAAACCGAGGTGGCCAATACTATCATTAACATAAAATCAAAGGCTGTTGGTATTAACAATATTGGTATAGATATGATAATATTCTGTTGTCCTCGCATTCTTTCAATGATCACTCACATTTTAAATACATGCACTGAGAAAAAGAAATATTTAATATTAAGAAATCAGAACAGTTGCGATTTTTTTAAAATATTTGTTAACTATTAAAAAAATTCTTAATCGTGAACAAATTATATACTAATTATTAAAACATCGTCCGGTGACTGTGTTTCAGACAAATAAAGGATAAAGTTGTCTTAGAACTGTGATATATTAACAGTTAATATACCTAAATTCGAATAAAACGTTTTAAGATTTGTCAACATAATTTTAAATGCAATATGCGCAAGCATGTGACGTTGCCGTAGTTTTTTACAAAATGGAATTTCGATATATTAACAGTTAATATATCTACATTTGCTAATACGTTATAAGCTTCTTTAATTCAACTTAACCAGTTCTTAGACCCAAATTAATATTTCTTTCGCCATATCCAACTCAACGATATGTTAATAGTTAACGTGCCTCGTTATTAACAAATATTTCGTTCTCTCAGTGTGCTTTGAATCAAATCAATTTCCAGATACTTGGAAAATATCTGTTATAAAGCCATTGCCAAAAGTTAACGATCCTAAAGAACTAAAGGAATTGAGGCCAATTAGTATTTTACCCACTTTTTCAAAATTAGCTGAAAAAAATATATATAAAAAATTAAAATTTACCTAGATAGATATGCAATTGTTCCAAAATATCAATCTGGATTTAGAAAAAATTACAGTTTTTCTACAGCTCTGCTTAAGGTCATAGATGATATTTTGGAGAGCACTGATAATAATCAATTGACCATTTTAGTACTCCTAGACTTCTCAAAAGCATTTGATAAATTAAATCACAGGCTCTTTATATCTATTTTAAATTATATAGGATTCAATGCTGATTCTCAAGCTTTAATTAAAAATTATTTAAATAATAGAAATCAGATGGTGAAAATAGCTGTTCTTCACTTGGCCAAGTGTTCTCCGGAGTACCACAAGGATCTATTTTGGGCCCTTTATTCTTTACAATTTATACCAGTCAATTAATTAAGTGTATTAAAAATTGCTCGTACCACCTGTATGCAGCTGATACTCAAATTTATAAGTCATTTGATCCTAGTAATATTCTATTAGCTAGTACTATGATAAATAATGAATTAAAGGCCTTAACTAAAAAGTACTGTTTAGAATTAAATCCAGATAAAAGTAAATTTTTAGTTTTTGGAAAAAAATTGGCAAGGCAACAGTATATACAATATATTAATATTTAGGTGGAAAGTAAAAATATTCCTTGTGTGAACTCAGCAAAAAATTTGGGATTAGAAATGGACATAGATTTAAGATTTTCAAAACACATAAGTAACAACATTAAAAAGGCCTTTGTAAAATTAAAACATATCTTTGCTTTTAAAAATATTTTAAACCACGAGCTAAAAATGATGCTATGTGATTCTCTAGTCCTTTCTAACCTGAACTATTGCGATACAGTATATAATTCCCACATCACCAAATTTGATGCAAATAGAATACTACTTATTCAAAACTCTTGTGTTAGGCTAATTTGGGGTATAAGAAGGAGACAAAGAGGCATAACACAAAGAATGGAGCAAATGGGTTGGCTACAAATGAGCCAACGACGTGCGCTTCATTGCTTTGTGATGTATCACAAAATTATAAATATAAAATGTCCTTCTTATCTGTTTTTATGGTACTTTCTAAGACAAAATTTAAAAAACATATACTACCATTTGTTACTTTAAATTTTTAAAAAATTAAGAATTAAGCAATTAATATAGATTTATATAATGTTATAGCATTTTTTTTTAATTTTTTTTTTAAATTAATTTTGATGTTTTAGGGTTTATTTTGATGTTTTAGGGTTATTTGCTTACTATTATTTTTTTTTGTATTGAATTTTAAACATTTTTGTTATATATACAATTATAATTGCTACAGATATATATATCTCTATAGAGATATATAATTTAGGATCACATGGTTGTATTAATGAAAGTATATGTGTCTACATACACACATATGTATATAAATTAAGGATGTTGTTTAGATTTAATTTTTTTTAGTTATATGTTAGTATAGCTAGTAGTTCTTAATTATTATGATTATGTTAAAAGCATAAGAATGAAGAACGGGAGCTCACATTATTTGTGTTCAACCGAACTTCGCCTTTTGTAACGAATTATTTGTATTTTTTTACATATTTTGTTGCAATAAAGACATTATTATTATTATTATTATTATTATTACTCATTAACTTAAGCACTCGCTCGCAAGCTCGCTCGTGCCTAAATTAAATTCATGTATAAAATGGCGTTTATCAAACTTGATACATAATATACTATTAACATCAATTTTACCGTATTGAGCTTTTTCTCTATCCGATTTTTCACGACGTAGCTGTAGTAGTTCATCCTTCATTTTTTGTACTTGTTCATAATCATCAGACTCAATATTAGCTACAGTAGAAACCACCAATATATGAACGTGACTCATCGGGTGCCGAACATATCTCAGACATGCTAGCAGTAATGTTTTACTTGTCTTGTACATTCGATGCAGCGGTAAATGTACTCACACGTAGGTTTTTAAGCATCCGGTCTAAAATGTGTGATGTAAAACTGCCTAGGTGTTCGACAAATATGGACATATGACGCGTGTCCTAGCTTGTTACTTATTTTTGTTGAAATTCAGTAGAGTTCGTGTTTTAGGAAATTTATTTTATTTTATTACATAGTAAGGCAACCAACTCTACCGTCGGCCATTTGTTTTTATATGTCATCTTTGTTTTTGCATATCGTGTTTCTGCTGTGTGTTTACGGATTAATAATCGTTTTAAACGTTGTAGTGGCAGTGGTTTATATTATGTAACACAGGTAGATGTATAAAAATTCTTACCTAGAAATTCTTGGCTAGAATACAAAAATATTTTTATTATATAAATTTTGTACTAGTATTAGTTTAATACATTCTGAAGAAGCTACTGTGTAGCGAAACAATTGTCAATATTTAATAAATTTCATGAAACTAACGCAAGTTGTTTTTATATCCACACAATTTAAATATCTTTCACTTTGTACCTGACCTGCGTAAACATTTTTGTTTTTTGTCACCAATTCTGAAATATTTGCGTTTACCGTTAAAAGAATAGTATATTCTGTAACAAGTTTGGAATATGCAATTCCAAACGTGTTTCAGACTATACTTTTTCTACGTTTCCAAAAAATACCATAGACAAAGAATTTAATTGGAAGAAAGTGAGGTTGGATCGGTCTAAAATTTGTTAGATATTAAAAACAGAGATGTCGCCACGAGTGTACATTCTGTCATCAGATGATAGAATATTTCATTAAAGTTAAAATAAAAGTTTATTTATTAATTAGTTTCTAAGAAAATTACATTTTATTTAATTATCATAGATGTAAATTATTAAAATTTAACTTTAAAAGCAAATATATCAGAAGTATAGCAACCAACATTACACTTAAGTCTTTGTACTGTGTTTAACTTTAAAAGCAAATATAT